AGTAATGATGAGCAATCTGGGGCAAAGTATAAGGTGTCAGCATCAGAATATAGCAGACCTGAGGAGGAGGAGAAGCATTTTCAGATTTTATTATAGCCTGGATGTGAGGATCTCAATTGTTCCCTGTGGTCACGCAAATGAATCCTACTGTAAAATGTATTTGATAAAGTCTTTCATGGTCTTTAGAGCAGTCTATATTATATGGCTTTTTTTTTCTATTTCATCCATTATTTTATTATCTTCCCTTCTGAATTTAAAATACCTTGCAGCTCAGATTCTCAAACACTTTCGGGAGGCATTTAGTATGCGGAGGAGCTAACAGGCCAAGATAACTCCGAAGCCTCTCTGCATTCCCAATGACACAGGGCACTCCACAACGGGTCAGATCTGCGGCACACTGCAGTGGCCCAACTCCTCCCGTTATTCCTTTGCATCGTTTCCAGTCTTTAGGGATGCCTTACGCTCTACCACCTGCAATAGCTCCAGCGGATTAATGCGACGTTCACGGGGACCCAAAGTTGCTGGCCGTATGCCAGGTTTTGTACACATAAAGGCATTATTATGATAGCTTTGTACCCCCGGCTGTTTTCCTTTTAGCTGAAGATGTGCTCTGTGATTTTATATTCAAGCTTAAAAATTCCTTTTCCCATCAGTTTTGCAAGTAAATCCCAGATGCACAAACGTTCACAGAAAGTGATTGTGAGCGTTTTGAACGCTGCCCAATGCTGCTTCACTGCAAAACACAAACAGGGCTTTGCAGAACCAGCTACATTTACGTCCATTTTCACTTGCAACAATCTCTGCTTTGAACTGAAAACCTGAAGATGCTTCATGTCTCCAAAGCAAAATCTGAATTCTAAAATATGCTAAGATTCCGAAGAGGAATGTGGCCAGAAGAGCAGAAGTCACTAAAGACAACAGCACAGGGCCAGGTGAATGGGATCAGACTGTGGATGTCATCAGACAAATCTTCAAGAGATTATCCTGGAATTTCCAATCTCTTCTTTCATGTGCAAAGTTAGAAACAGGATGTTTTCTATCAAACACATCATATTTTCCATGCAGTAGTAAGGATTTTGAAGCAGATCTGCTGTTGTGTACTTCCATAAATAACTATAAAGGACTTATATGTGTTTAGGAAATGACTTATTTGTGTTTTAAAAAGAGGCGTACAAAGCAACAAGGAGAGCCTGCGATCCTGAAAACGTAAACCCAAGAAAGGTGCAGGTCTGGCAAAGCATGGGGAGCTTCTCCATGCCGCTCTCTCTCAACCTGACAGCAGCTACGGGCTGAAAGCCTCGGAAAGCTGCTGCGAATCCAAACCTATTGAGATGCACAGCCCTCCCTGCGATCCTCTGCTGACAAAGGTATGAGATACTGTTACACCACGAGTACGGTAGTACTTTGGTGGGGTCACGGTGCCACTCAACACGAGTAGGGGATTACAAGCGTTTTGCTCCACAGGTCAGCAAACAGCCCCAGTGGGTTGGATTTCCAAGTGCTCCAAGCTGTGTAATTATATCACTCACAGATCAAAGGATCTGATTTCTCAATGCAGTTCTCACATTTGCCTCTATTTAATATTATGTTTTGTAAATAAAGCCTTCCAAACAAATTAGTAAAATATATAGATACATACACATGTAGATATACATGTACATATAAATATAAATTATCTAATACTGTGAAACACTTATTAATGGGAAGTTAAATTAAGTCCAGTGGATGATATAAGACTCATTTAAATAGTCATGCATTTTTCAGCCTCGCTATATTTTTGTTCTTCCCCATTAGTGGGTATATTCACTAGTGCTAACTCATTATTAATTGGTATTTTCATGATCAAAAGATCCCTTTAAATAATTTCTGCAACTTAGTTTGCCAAAATACCATGACTTCTGATCATAATTTTTTATTAAGCTGTTTTTGAATTAGACACAAATTAAATCTATCACAAGAGGTGGGTCACTTAAGTCTTATTATCTTCCATTTACACGTATCAATAAATCATTTTCTTAA